AAGTATATATAGAAGTATAACTCTTCCACTTCACACCGCTCTCCAGTGAGGTCGTGGTACTACCCGGATGGACATACACATTCTTTGATCAGCGAAGACTTGCGTGGCCCACCACATTGGTTTCTTGAATAAATAACATATGCAGTCAGGAAATGGGAATGCACGCACTAAAAAGGAGAACGCTTTGTTTTGAAAAGAGACTCATCATCATCATTTCAGCCTGTTTGAGTCCACTGCTGAGTATAGGCCTTCCCCACAGGCTGCCACGAAGCACGACCCTGAGCCACCTGCATCCATCCACTTCCAAATTTATCTCGTGAGTTCGTCCTAAACTGGGATGGCCAGTACAAGGCAGCCACTCAAGAACCTTTCTTCTCCATCGGTTCTACGAGCTATGTGGCCGGCCCATCGCTACTATAGATTACTAATTTTCTGAGCTACGTCGCTTATCTTTGCTCTACTGCGGATGTCTTCTTTAATAACTATATCACGTAGAGAAATACCGAGCATAGCTTGCTGAGCGACTTTAAGCTTCCTCATTCGGCCGGCAATGAGGGCCAAAGAATAGAGACCACTAAGTGATTATTCGAAATGTCATGCGGTTCAAATGTTCACCGAGGGTGATTCATGCGTGCGATTTATGCGAAGCGATTCGTTAGAATTGCGCGTAATTGCGTGTAACCTCCATTGAGGTTGTTCAGCCGCGAATGGCGTAATTTCGCTTAACCAAGGGGCGGAATTTAACGGAAATCTTTATGGGTTTCGGTTGAACATGCTTAATCGTACTAGGGCGTTATGAGTCTGCATTTTTTCTTTTTACCCTAATAAAACTTTAGTTAATAGACTATACTAAATATCTTTCTAGTGATGGATTATTAAAATGCCATAATTGCGTGAGCTAAGACGGTGTCCCATTGGGTGGATTAGTAGTTTCTTCTCATATTTCACCAGAAATGATTTTAGCTAAAATAGCATTTGCTATTTAATGCTATTTAATTTGATTGAAAGCACACACATAAAATTGTTTAACTTTCAACGTTTTTTAGGTAAGACACAAAAAAGGATGATTAATTTACCGAATCTTGTACCTAAATTAATGACAATTTAACCTAACATTTAATCTATATCAATATTTTTTATACTTCAGCCTATTCTACGCAGACGTAGTCGCGGGCATCAGCATAGTTATTCAATATAGCAGTAACAGGTTCGTGTAGTAATGACTAATAATCATTGTGATTGTGTTTGAAACGATTTATTGCGATCGTTCGTACGGACAGAGGCTAGTTTTTGAAAAATCGGCTATCACGTTCATAATACACGCGCTGTTTTATATCGGCATGTGCGAACACCTGCCTTCATAAAATAACATATATCACGGTATTTGCAGATGCACTGTTTAAACAGGCCGTTTGAGGTATGAGAAAACATTCTGGTGGTAGTGAAGTGCGTTTTAGTTGTATTAAATGCCACCGCTTGAAATACGAACGATTTAATTTTCTATATTGAAAGAAGAAACATTAAAATTTGTAGAAACAATGGTCCAAAAGTTTTTCGCACTGTCCGAATTGAACCCAAACAAGTGAGTTTTATTCCCTCAGCGTCGATTTCTACAAATTTTTATGATTCGGATTATTTCTTTCCCTTCAAATAAGAAAAGACGGTTTTTGATATTAAATGAGGAATGATAAGAACAGTAAAAGCGCAATAAATTTTTCATAAAAGTATTTTGATTTAATTAAATTAAAGCATTGATTCATCTTTTATATTAAATTTTACATTTCTTTTTATTTGATTTGAAACATATTGTTGGCTGTTAAAAAAGAGCAAAGCTCCATCTGTCACGAATATCGAAAAGGAAAAAAAAACGCGCCCGACCCGACATCCCGCGTCAGTTTTTCGCAACACGCCATCACTAAGCAGAAGACAATGCGTCACGTTACGTTACATATTATATTTTATTTTCAATGGAGTTCAATGAACCGAGATGAACATCTTTCCGATACGTAGACGGCGGGTTGAATGACCCCCGTTAATGTGTACGGTGCGCGACTCAAATTGTTGTGGGTCAAATTCGCGTGCGAACGTTACGTGTCTAACGCTGTATCATTTACGACTGTCATGACAGTTTAGTTTGATGTGTCTATTGTGAGTTACTTCTATTGAGATAAACTTGGAGGCGTGAGTGTATAGATCGCGACTGCACTGTCTCAATTTGTCAATGATTTCAGATCTGCGTTCCGTCGAAACTTGGTGCATAAACTTCATAGTTGTCACAACGAGTGCCTTTTCAACTATGGGATGGACACAGACAGTTATGGATATAGGGTATAGTGTAGTGATATTTAAAAAATGCTTTTACGCGTGTTATTTAAAAAAAAATACCATATTGCACAATAAAATTATCCTCTCCTACACACCCGTTTAACAACATCTACACACACACACACACACACACACACACACATATTGCACATAGAACAACATCATTTTTCGGTAAAAATTTCACATTGTATGACAAATTTCCAAAAAATAAATATATTTGATAGCCATAAAGCCTTATTGAGCCATCATGTATCTTCAATAATGCTAACTTAACCCGCGTCAGATCCAGTACACTTTGAATGAACGTTTTTGAATCATCCTAATTTACAATATATATCATGTAATAAATCATATTATGCTTTTATTCTACTTGTATATTATTAGAAGCACTTACTCGTATTATTTACTCTAATTTATATTGAAATTGCGAATACCGTACATCAAGTTTGTCTTGTTTCTTTACGTAAATTTTTTTTCGTACGTAAAGAGTAATTTTTGGAAGTTTCCATTCGTTATATTTATTTGTGGATACTCATCTACTATAGCTTTATACGGTTGCGTTTGTTGCATACATAAAACCCTGTTTCAATATGATCGTAGAGTAGTCGAGTAATGTTCCTTTAGCACTCGTTCAAAAGGTGATAATAATCGGTACTGTCTAATGCGTCATAGATTGCGCAATGCAGAACAAAGTGCGCGTCGATAATACACTCGCCTATATTTTATGACATACATTAAAGCACGGCAAAATTGTATATATGATTTAACAACAGACATAAATTCAGGGCTATCACTCAGCGAAAGTCCGAGGTCAGGAGGCAAGTAGGGAGGGATATTATCCTGTTATTGAAAAAGATGTCTATTGTGCAGTAATTACATAATCCTTGAATATCTACATTAGCAGTAGGGTTGCAAACCTTTCAGGTCTCCATTATCCCTCTAGTATGTGTGCCCATGTCACTGATTGGAAAAATACTGTATTTTTATCGCTGAACGCTTTCGTAGACGTTACGAAGTGTTGGGGATCAAATTGAAAGTGATAAGATCTGACAAATTTTTCTGTTTTGTTTATGTACAGTATTCGATACAAGAAATAATTATTATTCATAGTTGTTTCTCTTTGTCGGTTATATTTCTTGACTATCCCTAACGGATGGAATATTGTCGTAGGTTATATCTGTTTAAAGTCATTTAATTCGGGGTGGTTCAGTCGTGTCCTGAACTCATACGTGTATTTTTCCATTTAGCTATCGTGTCGTTTAAATCGTATATAATGAATTTTACTACTGTATTTTTAAGAATTGCTCTAGAAAAATGAAATAGTAGATAAAGTACAGAAATGTTTTACACAATCTGAAATCTGTTGAATATTGACTAGCTCGGTTATTGATTTGTATAAAGTCTGTATTTTGAGTGCAACATCGTTCAGAAAAACTATCACGTAATATTTAAAGCATATAAAATGATAAAAATTCAACCCCTCATGCATTCTAAAAAGCAATTAATTAACGTAATGATACGCAATAAAAACTTTGCACGCGTTTATATCCTAAACGAATTTTCATTTTCCTTCGCACACGTCGACCAGTTGAGCGTGACCTTCTGTTGCCTGCGTCCCCACATCGATGTTGTCGCTTTGATCTGGAAACCGTGGTTAGGGTGGTTCACCGTGAACTGGACGGGGCGACCGAGCCGAGGAATTATTGTGCAACAGTCCACACCACCGAAAATTCGCCGGTTGACGACCTCCGTAACATAATTACGCACACGCGCGCGCCCCCCGACTCGATACACGCGTACGCACGCAACGCACACAGCCGCACCCCCGTTTTTATGGGCCGAAAATAGACGTTCGCCTGTGTGCGTTCAGAGTACATTGTATTGAGGGCAAATAGGGTGGCGGTAACTCACTCCGTCAATTTATGACTTTTATTGCGCGTTACGTGTTTTTAATTCGTCCATTTTATCGTACCTATCGGTTTGTATTGTTTCGTTAGAGCTTAATTACGTTTATTTAGTGGATTTAGCTTAAACTAGTATTGTAATAAACAAAACGTCAATAAATTATTGGAAAATAAAATTTTAAGTATGTGTTAATAAATTAATGAGTAAAGATAAGAAATATCTTTTATGAAACTGATCAATATGATAGTTGAGACTTTTATAAGTGCTATCTCACATTTATTTGAAAGGTTTAATAAAAAATCAACGGTACATTCATTTCCTTAAGCATCTGTAGCACATGTGACATGAGCTTTTCTCAATTAATTATGACTTGACTTGCGTTGACGGTTTTATATTAATCTCGGCTAGAAATTATTCGCCTCTCAATTATCGACTAATTGGCTACTTTTTTGTCATTTATACCACTCGTAACAAGACGTTTAACGTCGTTTTTATAAGCGTATCACGTGTTTATAAGCGAGAACATATAAAGAGATATGATTACGAGAGAATATAACCTATCTTAATGATGTAAAATAAAATAACACAACCTATTAGAATATTAAACGGCTTTTTCCAGCTGTATTAATTTTAGCATCTTTGTCTACGTTCGTCCGACCGATGATCTGTCGGTTCGTAGGTTTATTTCGTAATTCAAGGTTCAATTTTTCTCCATTAGCGCACGAGTGTGGCAAAAGCGCGCGAAACGTTGCGTCACTGATGCTATCGTAATGGCGGCTGATAGTGCTGTCACGACGTCTCCGGCGGTTCGTTCCTTTATTTCACTTAGAAGGGCGTCCAAGGTTAGGTCATCTGGTAAGTGATAACTGCTGCCCATGGATAGGTACACGATTGTAGGTGCTACAAACAGTTTAGTAGGCTCACCAGATTGTCTCTGCCCGGACGTAATGCGAACAAATATTTCCACTTCTCCTCGAGAGGATAAGAGCTCTCTCTTAAAAGATTATAGCTTGTCGATGTTCTGTGAGGCCGTGGACTGCAATGGTTGAGCCGGTGCCAATTAGGTGTATTCGCGTAAGAGTGGATGCCGCTGCGTGGTTCTCCGCCAGTAGGATCATTGTCAGTGGGTGATTCCCCGCTTCTACTGCGGAAAAGTGCTGCGGCAGGGTCAGGGGGTAAATCCCCGCCAGTTGCGGCTATGGTTCGAATCCCGGACTAAATGGATTGTTAGTAATTCGCTTGCGTTGAGTCCTTTTAATACAGTAGTAGTGTAAAATGTCTTTTCGATTGTTACATCAGACTTGGTATAACAGAGGCACTCGAAGGTGTAAAAGCCTACAGATTTTATTAACAGTCACGCCCGTGACTTATCGTCTTGACTATAGAGAAATTTAGTAATTATAAGTATATTTAATTATATTTATCCATATATGTAATTTGTGCAAAGTTTGTATATTTTTACTGTTATAATTTAAATGTCTATGACATATGATGCACATAAATTATGGTGTAATAAAAGATATAAAGACCGTTCGAACTGAAACCAACGAACATTGTAAATTTTAATCGATTGGGTCCATAAAATGCTAAGGTCATGTATTGACGTATAATGACTTTGCTATAACACTAGTCATTTCACACTTAGCCAGGCTTCGGGACGAATTGGTTAAATATACCCAAAAATTATAATTATTTCGAAAGACAGTCAAATCTGGTGTAAAGTGTTATTGAATTGTTAACGATATGCAAGGTAGAATTTTCATTAGAAATTGCGTATATTACGTATTTTATAAAGAACATTCTGTATCTTGTTAAGATTAGAGCTTGCAAATCGATTGCATCTATTAACTGCCAAAATTTGAAATCATTGTCCGATAATTACCGAAGCATGGCAAATATTTATCAGGGGCGAGAACGCTGCCTCGCGTGGGCGTAACAGGTCACAAGAACCATTGCCCCGCGCTCCAGGGCCATAGAGACAAGTGCGTTGCCTCGCCACCCCCTCCCTCGCCCGTAGCGCGTACAAGCGGGAGGGGCGGGGCGGGCCTCGCGGGAAAGGGAATTTTCCCCGGCGAAAAACACGCCAGTCGTCGGCCCCGGCAAGGTCGACGCGGCAAGGTCGTCGCCCGGGTCGACGCACCGCCCAAAACACTCGCGCTCGACCGCGTCCGATCGTACTCGTATTAGGGATGTTCGAGCGATGCGTAAATTCGCGTAATTCGTTACCTTTACCCTTTGGTAACAAATTACGGGACGTTTTTTTTTAAATAAGTTTTAGGACACATTTTTACACAACGTTCTCTATTCCCAATAAGCAACGCTTGTACTACGGGTACTAGATAACTGATGAACATACTTAAACAGAGTTTTCTTTTGTAAATAAATACATATTATACATATATAAACACCCAGACACTAGAAAAACAATCTGGGCATCACACAATATTTTTGCAGTAGTGGGGATCGAACCCACACCCTCTGGCGTAGGAGGCAGGTACACTACCCACTACGCTACTCGGATGGCCGTGGGCAACACCGGTGGGGTGGTATGTAAAAAGATGGCAAGCGAGCTGACGGTTCACCTGATGATAAGTGATAACCGTCATCAATGGATATTTGAATTAGTAACTCAACGGGTGAAAAGGAAAAACGAACATATTATATAGAAAAGCAGAAGATATTGAATTAATTTTAAACAACGACGTCACCTCGCTTCAAACCTTGGTCCGTGAACGAAGTTACACAAAAATCTGCTTGAGAAGAATCCACCCTTAAATGTCGAACGACTATTTTTAGTAAGAATAAAAATAATTCTAATAATAGTTAATTTTATCAGTTCATCCTATATGTTTATTTGATTTATAAACCCAACCAGACGAGAAAACAAATAAATATCCCCAAAAAAAATGCTAATAATATAAAAATGATCTGATACCGCAATAATCGTACATTTCTGGGTTACAGACGTTTCCCCATTGAACATGAACAGTAAATGGATCTAGATGTTACTGACCTCCGTTGCGGAAGGATAGCTCGGTTTTTTTTATTATCATCACTTTTTTAATTCACTATCATGTGTGCCCCAATTCCACGCGGAAACTGAGATGCTGTGGTTCCGGATTGGTTTAACCAAAACAAAGCGATGCGCCAATTTTCGCGTGTTACACGAATAGCTTCATCGGCGGAACACATGTCAGAAACGTGTAAAAATACTTTTAGGTGTTTCATTTATTTGAAGCGCTTTTCACAATTGAACAAACAACTAGCGAGAGGGCGGTGACATTTTATGAAAATTATTTTCACACGTTGTATATGTTTTACTCGCATAATGTAAATTGACATTTTTAGATTGTGCTAGAGATGAAGATGATGTCGATGTAATAACTCATCAAAACCTAATTGTAGACAAAAGAATAATACGTAAGACTCGACGTGATTCGAGAATTCACTAAGAAAGCTCTTTAGTTAATTATTAAGATTTAATATTAGTGTTTTCTTCTTATTTGTTTCTTCTTCTTTTTTAAAAAAACATTGCCCTTACTTTAGGATAACATAATCCTGTGTTGTAAGGACGTTTTGCAAACATATATTTCACGTGGACAAACACCCAGATGCGAAACAACTATCTGTGGATAGTTGTCCCGTGTGGGAATCGAACCCACGACCCCCGACGCCGAAGCCAATACCTTGGCAACTGCGCCACAAAGTCATCAAAAGTGCACAGTTTTAAGTGAAGAGTTTTTGCTACACTGCACTGTACGCAACCATACGGTCGAAAGGCCCTCGTTCATTTTCTTTCGATTGTGTTGACATACTTTCTGATATACTGGTCTACCTACAAAATTTCAACTGTTTGAGTGATGAGAATGAGTCAGCCACCCGATTGTAAACAATACATTAATTTGAAACTAATTTAAATTTTACATTAAGGTTTTTTTTTAAATACAATTACATTTCAACTAATTAACATTCGTTGTAACTAGAAAGGTGTAATGACCTATTCCTATCGGTAATTTTTTTCTAGAATTATTATAAGGCGACCGGATACTGAACTTTACATCAAACCACTTTATTTTAAATTGTTTTTTTTTTTTTTTTTAAGAATTAAAAAGCAGCTATATGTCTGTCGATTTAAGCTGAGAAAGCTGAAATCGAAAGCTTAACCCTTGTGTTATATATAAGCAATATATTTTTATTCAAATAGATTACAAGTACACTAAACATTTTATTTTTCAATACTCTCTGCAAATTATGAACAAAAGACAATCTAGAGCAATTATTTATCGATCTCACTAATTCTTATTTCGCGTAGGATCCAATCCGCAAATGGCGGCGTCGTGTCGAAAACTTAATCGTTTAGTCAGTGGAAGCAACCAAGATTGTCTAGAGACTAAAACTTTAGGTTCGTACCTTATATTCTTTATCCTTACGCTGTTGAGTAACTGAATTTCTGAATAACTGTTATAATACTCATGTAATTATAAATTATTTACCTCCAAACAGTTAAATTATTTATTAAACTGTATTAATAGAAGTTTATTCAGAAACGTTATTATTCTTTATTAAGACGAAAATTAATGCAGATGCTGAAAAAAATTAGATTCGGTCAAAACACTTTCAATGTCAACAAAGATGCTCAGTTCAAAATTTCTATTTTAGCTTAATTACGTATCGTACTTGAATAGTATAATTTATAATATTTTAACATACAATAGTTCGGTGAACGGGCTTGTAGTGCGTTGACACACAATTACTTGAACGATCGGCAAGAATATTTTTTTTATTGGCACGTTTCTTTACATTTGAAAATATTCAGGTACATTTGATATTTCCAACGTGTAAGTGAAAACTGTAACCGTGCAATGTTGAAAATGTTTTTACGACCCAATTGGCGTAGTTGGCTGTCTCTTGCGCCAGAGTGTGGGTTCGATCCCCACTACTGAAAAATATTGTATGATGAACATAGTGTTTTCTAGTGTTGGATGTTTATATATCTATAATATGTATTTATTTATGAAACAAAACTATGTTTAAGTATGTTTGTCAGTTACCTAGTATCCATAGTTCAAGTTTTGTTTAGTTTGCGACTAGATAACGTTGTGTAAAAATATGTTTCGAAACATTTATTTATTTTTCATCCCCTGGAGCGAGCTCCAATCCTAGAGGCTGAATTGTTTAGTTAATTGTTGTAACACGATATCTAGATATGAAATGGAAGAAACAATTTTCCGCAAAAAATATCATCTGCTCTGCTATCTTATCCAGCTTATATCTTTACTATTTTCTTCGTTTTTGCCTATCTGATTAGGTATTCTTCCAAATTCCTCTGCACAATTTGTATATATACCAATGCCATTTATCTATAGTTCAAAAAATATAGGCTCCTAGAGTGTAAGTCGAATATATCTCGAGGAAATGTAATAAATTTGCAAAGTGGTAAGAAAACGACTTTTCATAATTGTGATCTCCTGTTCTGCTAAATGTGCTGATTCAAAATTTTATATATAATAGAGAGTTTATATATGTTAAAGAGCTATACATAGCTTTAAAAATTTTACACATACGCTAAATTAATAACTTAATGCTTTGTATACAGTCAATTAAACGCGGAAACTTATAAAACGAGTATGAAACGTGTAGACACGTAGACATAAGTGCGGGGTCAGTATCAATAACTCCACGGGTGTCAAACGTATGGAGGTGTTGACATTAAGTAGTCCGAGGTCAATATCATCCCTGTAAGGGTGAAGGGCCCGTATTCGACAGGGGTTCATGAACCCCGTGACCTCAGCTACGACTTCCGGTCCTCTACGAAATAGAAAGCTTCGCGTGTAGACAAACAGTATAATACAGCATTAGAAAATGTCGTTTTGTATAAAGGTATTTAAACGGTATTAATGTAAGTGAACACAAACGTTTGCACTAAATTTAACGTCTAAAGAAGTAGAGCGTGTTTATTTAGAATAGTTAGGGTTTTGTGGAAATTTATCACGCGTTATTACAGTTAGTTTATTTTTATGATGCGGTATTCAATTTAACATGAACCATACTGATTATACGGAATAAGCGTGTCTTTAAGGTAAGAGTGAATAATTTATAACGCAGCTATTGGTAAAGGCTACTAACTGCACAAAAAGATTGAACCAGAGGCGCATTCCATTTTGTATTGTAATGAAAAAGACTGTACACATCTTCCTTATTTCATTTGAAATAATTAGCAACCATGAACAAAAATATACCCCGTATGACGATCCAAGATACGAGTACCTTGTCGATTAATTGCTTTTTTTTACTATTCCACTCTACCCAGTATTTTTTTCATGTGTCATCATCATCATCATCATTTCAGCCTGTTTGAGTCCACTGCTGAACATAGGCCTCCCCCACAGACTGCCACGAAGTACGATCCTGAGCCACCTGCATCCATCGACTTCCCGCACATTTGCACAGGTCGTCACTCCATCTAGTGGGGGGTCGTCCTACACTGCGATGGCCAGTACGAGGCTGCCACTGGAGAAACTTTCTTCCCCAACGGTTATCGGTTCTACGAGCTATATGGCCGGCCCATCGCCACTTCAGCTTGCTAATCCTCTGAGCTATGTCGGTAATCTTAGTTCTACTGCGGATGTCTTCGTTACGAACTCTATCACGCTAAATATCCTCCATTTATGAGTCACCTCATAAATGGAGGATATATGACACATGAAAAAAAATACTGCGTGATAACTAGACAAAGTATTAACCTAGTTTTCGTAACAAATACAATTATCAGTTCTTTGTATTTATTCCATATAATGCTCTTTAAAATAGGCAAAAGTCACAATCCCGTATTTTTTTTATTACGCGATTTACAGAGTATAAGGTTACTTTTACCTTTTCATTTTTTGTTATATATAAATAAAAATTGCCGACCAAATTAAAGTGATCTGCAAAGAAAACGCTATTAAAATCCTTAACTTACAGGCCTACATCATTCTCAAAAATATCGCTTCTAAATCGAGATCGAACCCGGTATACGGCATTGTTACGGCTAATCCTAGGTTGCTGACGCAAGCCGTCGATGTAAAGATCGCTGTACTGTAACTGTGTTAAGGGTAGATTTGATGTTAAGGAGAATATCACTACATAGTATAAAACAAAGTCGTCCCGCTGTCTGTCTGTTCCTATGTATGCTTTTATCTTTA